ACCGAGGCCTGGCCGCTCTGCCCAACCCGGTCGTACCGGGCTAAGCGGCGAGGAGCGGGGCAGGGCAGGCTCCCGCACCGCTGCAAGGCCGGAGCCAAGGGAAGGCCTCCCCCCGGGAGAGCTTTGCGTGTGTCTGTTTTGAAGGAAAATCCGCTGTAATCCCTCGTGCTGGTGTGGGGGCGCCCAGCCCTCCCTCTGCCCTCCCGGCCTCAGGGCGCGCAAGCGTTCCGCAGCCTGTGCCCTAAAAAATGCAGCTGGTTTTGGGGTGGAGGGGAGTCTCCTCGCCAGCGGCTCTTGCTCAGTGTCTGGGAGGGAAGAGCAGAGCAAAGGCACTGCGTTCAAGGTCACCGGGACACACTTCTCCCTTACCAAGGGCGTCCTGATATTTTTAAGATCCACTAGCAGGCAGCTAGTCTATTTTTGTTAACAGAGTGCTGTGCGCGTACCGGGTAACCGACAGGCTCAGAAAGAAGGCTGGATTCCTGTCACAGTTTACAATCCCACGAGCCCATCCCATGTGGAGGACAAGCACAGCTATGTTGCTGCATAAATAACACCAGGCAGGCTGGGTCACCAAATCATCGTAGTCTGAGAGCTCTTCTTATTTCATGATCAAGGCAAGGTCGTTCTGGTCAAGAAAAATCCCACTGGACGAGCTCCCAGGAGAACGAAAAGTGAGCGCAGGTGTTTCCAAGGAGCCGTGCCTGCTCTGTTGACAGGGTAGCCAAGTGGTGCCTCAGCAAGGTTTTGGAGTAAGCCTGAGTTGGAAATGTTGATGTTTTCCATGGTGGTGAGGTCTGAAACAGGAGAAGAGCTGATTCAGTGGCCTGGGTATAGATAGGAAGGTTGTCTGTAGTGGTAGAGGAAAGCAGAAAAGGGGAGAGGAATCGCCTTAAGGTGAGGATCTTAATCTCTGTCTCTCAGATGAAATATAAAACTCTAAGCCTAAATTCCCTTTTGGAAATTCATTGCATTTATTTTTATAGTGATTATGGTAAGGCTTTTAACTGTGCCAATGTCTTTGATTTGATTGCCTGTACCGGTGCAGTCTGACAGTTGCATGAATTTTGGGCTGCTCCAGTTTACTCTCTGCCTTGAACCTCTTTTGTTGATTGGCATTGCAGACCTGGATGTGCAGCACTGGCAGCATTTCAGCAGTGATACTTAATCTGTTTACAGTGTGTTAGGTTAGGTGATTAAAGGCTCATCTCCACATACACACAGGAGCTCAGGGGCAGGCGGGGGAACTCCAGTAACCAGGTCAGAGAAAGGGAGCCCCTGCCCAGCCCTCCCAGGGCTGTCCAGGGCAGCCTCAGCCCCATGGAGACAGCTGTCAACCAAAAAAACTCTTATGTGTTGCCTCACAGATTGAGGGGGTTACTGCCTAGGGGTACAGGATGCATTGTGGGATGCATAATAGGAAGAACATTTTGGGGTTGTACAAGGCTTATTATGGGATTTTTAGCGCAAGAAGAAAAGGTGGGGAAAAGGAGGGATCTATGCCATAGATTGTATAGCAGTATTTAACAGCTTATGGGAACTTTCTGAAGCTTTTCTGTTAGGAAATACTTCATCATACTCTTGCTCACATAAACATATTATGTAGAAATAAGGATATGCTCACATATGTATTTATGTAGAAATATGACTTTTCACTAGCATTAGGATCTTCAGAAGACTCCTAATGAAAAGAGCTGACTTAGCATTTTTACCACTTCGCTTGGTACCAGTGGTAAAAACGGCATAGACCATGAGGGTTGGTAAAAGTGGATCTGATTTACAAGATGTCTTACTAATGAAGGCATATATTATGTGGATAACTGTTGTGTTTTAGCCCAGGTAGGCAGCTCAGCCCTACACAGCCACTTGCTCACAAACTCCCACAATGGTGTGGGGAAGAGAATTGAAAGGGTAAAAGTGAGGAAATTTGAGGGTTGAGATAAAGGCAGTTTAATACGTAAAGGAAAAGCTGCACGTGCAAGCAAAGCAAAATAAGGAATTTGTTCACCACTTCCCATTGGCAGCCAGGTGTTCATCCATCTTCAGGAAAGCAGGGCCCCATCAAGAGTAATGGTTCCTTGGGAAGACAAATGACATGACTCCAAACATCCTCCCTTCCTCCTTCTTTCCCCAGCTTTTATTGCTGGGCAGAACATATTATGGTATGGAATATCCCTTTGGTCAGTTGGGGTCAGCTGTCCCGGCTGTGTCCCCGCTCAATTTCTTGTGCAACCCCAGCCTACTTGCTGGTGGCCTGGTATGAGAAACAGAAATGTCCTTGATGCTGTATAAGCACTGCTCAGCAATAACTGAAACATTTGTGTGTTATCGACACTGTTTTGATCACAAATCCAAACAACACCACCATACAAGCTATTATGAAGAAAATTAACTCTACCCCAGCCACAAGTAGTACAAGAACATAAGAAGATATGAGGATCACTGCACATAGGCTTCTTTAAAGTTTATATACCTGAAACTAGGAAAATTGGTTGTACTGAGTATAAAAAAGAACTCTGGTCTCCCATCCACTTTTTTCTGCCTATGTCCTATTGACCTGCTTATGTGACAGTTACCTACATTAGGTTCTTCTTGTGTGTTCCCAAATTCTAGTGCTTTTGTCTAGGTGATGAGTGGCATTCCTCAGGGGTCAGTATTGGGACTGGAACTGTTTTAACAATCTTCTTGGAGACGTAAACAATGGGATTGAGTCCACCCTCAGCAAATTCACCAATGACACCAAGTTGTGTGGTGCAGTCAGCATGCTGGAGAGAAGGGATGGGCCATCCAGAGGGACCTTGACAGGCTTGAGAGGTGGGCTCATGCAAACCTCCTGAAGTTCAATAAGGTCAAGGGCAAGGTCCTGCACAAGGGTTGGGGCAATCCCAAGCACAAATAAGATCTCTGGGAACAGAGGAAAAAACAAAGCTGGGTAATGACCACCTACTCGACTGGAGCCCATGCTCCATCTTTTTTCTCGTCTCTCGTGGAGATGAATTTGTGGAATACCTGCCCCTCCTTGTCTAGTATGCTAATTAGCTAATAAGATGAACTTAATAAGGCAACAGAAACTTTGCTGTGTGGGCACTCACTACCCAGGATTACTGAACCTGAGACAACGCTGGATCCCAAGGGTGGTGATCCGGATTTCTTTGATCCTTTTCCTTTCCCTTCCCCCTTCCCCCTTCTTTCTTTCTCCCATTGTTTCTTCCCCCCTTTCCCCTTTTCAACCTAGGATCTGGTTGCAGAGTTTACAATAACCAAACTCTGGATGCAGACAGCCTCTACCAGTGTTTCTCAGTATCCTTCTCTTAATGCTGGTTGCGTATTTCCTTAGACCACGATACTCAAGTTTTCAAGGCAGGGACTATCAGTGTTTCAGTTTGTACTTGCAGAATGCAGTAATGATAATTCAAGACACTTGAGTCTCTACTACGATATTTTGACTTTTATGCACAAGACCCAGTTCTACCCTAAGTTACAAGTTGTTTCAGCTGAGGGGTAATGGAAGTTGTGAATGTACAGGGGGGTAGCGTCGCTGTTGAAACGGATACGACAAACACTGAATTGTGCAAAATGTCTACTTTATTGTTCTAACAAGCCTTTTTATAACTTTATTAAGAGTATGTGTCCACATATGATTGGTTTAATTAGAGACTAACAGTTCGTGATTAGATGACCTCTTCTCTGTTGCAGCCTCAGTAACCTTCCTTTCCTTGTGGTTAGGCAGTTCTAGTCTGGTAGTTAGTTCCTTACTCTTGTTTACTCAGCTCTTCTTGAGACTTTCAAGCCTCTTAAGGGTACACGGTTATCTGCTCAAGGTCAATATCAAATTTACATTCTGATCCCTTGGACCAGCTGAGGTTTCCCATATGGTAGAGCCTGGCCCTTAGCTTCCTGACGTCAGTAGGAACAGATGCATTTTCCTTTTTTTTTTTTTTTTCCCTTGGGGCTTCCAGCATTGTCTCAGTACAAAGGAGTCTGATTTTCTTAACGCTATAATAGCAACCTGCTTGGGTTTTCTCATTTTCCACTGTCAGCTTCATTGCTTGCTTATACATTTTCTAAACTTTGTAGGAATAATAGTCCCATAGTAGCATTTTCTGTGCTTAAAAATACATTACTAACATTGTAATATAAAGCATCCTTCCAAGTGGGAAAAATAGCTTGTAATAATGTAATGCTGTTATAAGGCATATGCCATAAGGGGATAAATTAAGACTGTATTAGTGTTCTCAGTTCTGGCATTAGCTATAATGTTTTCTGAGTGCTTGACTTGTCAACCTTAGATTTTTCACATTTTTAGATGTAGTATGTGGAATCTGTTCATTTTCTAAAAAAAAATAAAATACTGTCATGTGACAATTAGATATCTACATAGGTCTTCAATATGTTTACTTACGTGAATGGATATCTAGTGATCTAATGAAAGTTGTCCCTGCCTGTGGGAGGGGGGAAATTGGGCTAGATGATCTATAAAGGTCCATTCAAGCCCAAACCATGCTATGATTCTATGATACTGAAGTGAGATGTAATACTTTACCTGTTGATCATACAACTATTATATTTGTGAACAGTGTGAAAGCAAAAATTGGAGAATCTTGGCATATATTGTTCATGCCCTCTTCTGACTGCATATTTTCATCCCCTTGGATCTTCAACTTAATTCTTATCTTCAGGTTTTTTATACTAGTCCCCACAGATGTTAGTTTTTCTTGATTCTTTTTCTTAGTATTCAATGTAACTCCTCTCCAGACTGTGGGATTTTCCACTTCCTAATAATATATGGTGGAACAAAGAGATTAGAGGCTTTGTAGTTCAATCTCACTTTCTCTTCTTCTCTTCACAACTGCTACATGTTATTTTGGCTTGTCACCATATCCCTTTCTCTCTTTCTGAAAAGCCTGAGGTGATGTACTTCTCTTAACAGAACCCATTCCTTGCTCATGTCTTCATTGCATTTGAACTTTGTGTCTTTATCTTCCATGCAGTCTGGTGCCAGATGGAATTGGCTGTAAGAGAACAAAAGACATGAAAACTTCAGGTTTCCAGAGCTGGTACCAGGTGAGTAGTCAATGAATCTGCTCTGGCATATGCTTTGTGAGAGTGAGATCTTAAAAGTGGTTGTTGCTTAAACTCCCTAGTTCTCTCTGAGCATGTGTAGCTTTCAGACTTCTAAGAATTTAGATATGTTTGAATCTGAGTGGCTAGTTCAGTTTCTCATCCAAAGCATGTGGACTAAAGAGAGCTCTTCAGATTTGTTTTTATTCTGGGTTGGAGATACCCTGATAATTTTTGGAAAAAAATAATTTTCTTATGAAAGTAATTCATACATTAAAGTAAATTTTGAAGCTTGCACAATTCTGAAATTTATAGGTCAAATTGTTAAAATTGGTAAAGTTATAATCAAGAGTAAGAGTCCAGTCCAAAGTAGTGGTAACTCCTATAATAATAGATAGGCTATTCTTAGTATATATCTGTGTGCAGTGTCCACATTGCATTTTTCGTTTGATGCCTTACTAATACATCTAGGAGTTCAGCCTGCAGTCATGTTTAGTATTTAATGTACTGTATTACTTTGACTGTTGTTGATACAGATTTAAAATTTTATAAAGTTTTAATCCTGATTTTCTTTCAGATTTCTTCCCTTACGCATTTGTTTTAGTGGAGGATCCCATTTAAGACTGGAGTCAGTGAGTCCAGGTGCTTATTGTTATGTTCAAGCCTTTAAAAAGAGATTTTTCCAAAAGATTGCCCTTTCTACTATTCATTTTGCAGTGCAGTAGAGAACATCTTGTAACACTGATAAGATCTTTAATATAAAAAAAAAAAAAAGGAAAATATTACAACTGAAAGCTGAAGTGCATAACAGGGAAGAGAGAAGCAAAGACCATGAAGAGCTGCCAAAACCTGCTGCCTTTGCAGATGCAGGGAATTTGACAGCAAAAATGTGCCACAGTGATCCTATATACTTTAGGTTATCGTTCACTGCCAAAACAGTTAAAAACAGCCAAGAAACATGAGAAACCTGTCTGTTTGACCAGAGAATATACATCTTTTCCTAATCCCAAATCTAACACAACCCATGAGTCAGGTTTTAGGCAGATTTCTCAGTAACATGCTAGCACCTCTAAAACTTTGTTTGAAGCAATTTCTAAAACTAAAGAATGCCTGTTTTGATTTTGTATTTGCTTCCTGTTTCCCTTTCTGGATCTCTTTCTGTTCAGTATTCTTGAGCAAAAATTTTCAGTTCAGAATTAAAAAAAAAAATTAAAAAATCAATTTTGGATGGTGGCTAATCTTAGTTTTCTAAATAACAGAAGTTTGTGGGTTGCTTGTAGTTCTTTAAATGTTGGTGAGTAGGTGGCAGTTAAACATATGCAGTTCTCCTGGTTTTCAAGGCATTTGCAGTTCTCAGTTGTTTCTTTGGGTATCATCTAGTGAAACTTTCATTTAGGTCCCTGCTCCTGCCTTTTCCTGTACAAGTGTAATTCTTCCTGTCTTTAGTGCCGTCAGGACAATATTGGACATTTGGAGTTTGAGTGCGTTGATAGTCATCCTTAGAAATATTTTTTCATCAGTTAAGACATCTGCCTATTTTCTGAGAAGTCCTTTCATTGCTGTACAAGTGGGTGTATGTCGCGACCTTTTATTTCCCTATAGAATAAAAGAAGCAAATTCGTTACTGATACGTGCTGTGCCCAAAGCTGGTCAGTGGTTTTGATTAATGCAGCGGGGGTATTGGGGCCTTCTGTTTAAAAATACTTATTCTTTGCCAGACCAAGTACTTTAGTGATTCTGTATCAGTGCTAGTGAATCTTTTCCTCCAAAATGTAGTTTTATAAAAAATATTTGCCTTGTAATTTTTTTGGTTTAATTTTGCTGTTTAATTTCTGAGTTATATTGGAAAATTCTCTAACTGCTCCTGTACCTGCCCAGTCACAAACTCAATGCCTCCATAGGAATCCCGCTTTAAAGCCAATCTTCCGTTATCATTTTGGATTTCTTTGAGTCTGATTATATTCCTAGAGCAAAGTGTGTCAGTCATGGAACACAAGAAACAATAATCTTTTGGAGATTACTTTCTCAACAATAGGTTAATGGGATATTGTTTTGTAGGATGTGAAGAAAAAGGAGACTGAAAAAATAATATGAATTTCAGCAAGAGCTGAATGGAAGGTACAACTTTCACAAAATCCTTCTGCAAACATTTTTTCTCCAGTCAAGAAATAAAGGATTACCAAGGAAGAAGTTGCTGTTTGAACGAGCTCAGATATTACTGTGATAAACAGGGGAATAAAATTTTACAATAAGTGGAACATTGACACTTTATGATGTGTGGAATTGCATTGTACTTGTAGAGATATGAACACTCAGACAGATAAAATTATATAAAATGAGTCTTGAATATCCACAGAGGCAGTATCTTCCAGAGGTAGTATCAAATTACATGACAGTGGAGCAGCAGAGCATGCTCCATGTGAAAAGAGCCTTTGGACAGTCTACACTAGCTATCTCAAGGCAATAAAAGACTAATTAAATGGATAAGTAGCTGAATAGTACAGACTTGTAACTTGCAACTTCTAGTTTGGCTAAATCAGACCTGTGAAGCTGATGCCCAAAGTTAGTTTTATTCAGTTCAGTTTCATAAACAACTACTCTTTGTATATTATTCTTTATTATTTGAACAGAATATAATCAGTACACATAATAAAAACTACCTCCTTTCTGAAATTGGAATTTTGCTAGAAATGTCAGTTAAAAATGTGATTTGAATTACCATAGCACGAAAAAGCTTTGATCCTAGATCAGGATCTGATTAGTCTAGTCACAGTACAAAAAGAGCCAACAAACCCAAGATATTTTTCCTATGCAACTTACATTCAAAGGATCAAGACACTGGGTAGTAGAATGCAGTTGGGTAATTCTGTCCTTGTCTTTCCCAATATTAAAGAATCATAACACAAATTCTTTATCTAGTGTTTTACTTCTTTATTTAAGTACTTCTTTATCTACTTCTTTATCTAAGTACTGATTTTTTATAGACATCATAAAAATAAAGGGAATAGGGATGGTAATGAGATGACTTGTGAAGATGTCCCATCTTAGGTCTAGAAGTTTGTATGTGAAACCACAGATATAGTAATGCACTGAAATAAATACTGCAGATGGGATATGAGGTTCATTGTAACAGTGCTCTGACTTTCTCAAGCAGGGCATATGCCAAAGGCAAAAAAAGACATTGTGGTAATTCATAAGAACATAAATGAGATTTTTGATTGCATGGCTAAATAGGAAATGCCTCCCCCCCAATTCTAGAAATGTTTTGAAGAGAGACCATGGATCCATGGTTGAAATAAGATATAGAAGGACAACAGAAGGAGAGTAAGGACAGAACTCTAGGAAGGTAAAGACAGGAGTTGAGAAAGCTACTTTAAAGGCCACCCTAAAAGAAGTGGGAAGAGACCACAAAAATGAAGAAAGGACAAGACTAAACAGTCAGCAGGTTAAAAGTCAGTCAGGAGTTGGAAGTACTCCTGGTTCTGAGATTTTGGTAGAGTGGTGGAAGGACAGAGCAGAAGCTTGGTTTTCCTAGAGTTTTTTCCCCTAAAAATTCCCTTTGTTTTCTTAAAACAACTACTGCATACATTGATAATCCCATTCATTTTTTAGCTTGCTCAAGAATCTGAGTTTTCAGGGATTTAGCAGATATATTGCCACTATATTGCAGGGCTTTTCAGCTGAAAGTTGTCCTTAGATAGGGAATAAACTCTTATCATATTTTACACTTATTTAATTTCAAATGTCTCTAAGAGACTTTGGTTTATGATCTTCCATTAATTGTTGTAGAAAACATTTTTTAAATTAAAACTACATCCAAAATGGAACATATCACTGTAGTATGGACTTTACAGTACTTAATTATGAAATGTCAAAGAAATTTATCTGAAAATGAGACATTAGGGAAAATCCTTTTCTGAACAGCAACAGCAACATTTCTACACCTTAAGTGTTTAATGCTGTTTACCTGGGAATGTTTTGAACAGATAATGTCCTTTTGTTAATTTTACAACTACAGCAGTCTTTATTAAGCTACTTGTTACTTGTACTTTTAATCTTAAAGGAGACAAAATTGATAAGAGATTTGTCATTATTGCTGCAATCTTTATTGAGAGAGAACTCTCTTGGGCAAACTTTGAGATACTGTCTAAAACTCAGAGTAGGCAATGTCTCTCTCTGCTCAATCTATAGAACCAAAACTCTAAATTTGATTCCCTGATCTGCAATAAAAACTCCCACATAGTCATGTTGTGAGGTAAAATATGCACCAGAAAGTAAAGGTACTTTGATAATCTTTGTTAGTGAGAATTATTGACTTCTTGTGGTGCAAGGAATTCTCAGAAGTCCAGACCTCACAATGTCTTGGATGTTGCACATACACATACTAATAAAGCCAAGATCCATCTACATTCTGCCTTACTTTGACCCTCAGTATCTCAATTGTCCTCAAGTCTGAGCTGAAGTGGCCTTCCAGAGACTATTTATTCTCGACTGTCCTTAGAATTCCTCATATACCTAAAATCAGGGCCTGGGAAAAACTAACTGAGCATAGAGCTCCTTGGCTTTTGCCTAAGGCCTACTCCATCTAGAGTTTGTGTCTGCTTAGTTAAGCCCTAAAGTAATTCTGTTTTACAGCCTGGAGAACAGCTAACTCATGCTGACAGCACTGGTGTCACTAAAAAGCATAACATGTTACTCGCCTCATGCAGCTATACAAAGTGATTAGTGTGTATATAATGTATATATAGGTGTATATGTATATTTCAGATATAGTCTGAATCATTAATGCACAGAGGGGAAGGAATGCACAGAAGAAAGGAAAAAGACATCTTTCATTTCTGCTTTACAAATGGAGAACTGGAGCACACTGAAATTTTAGCAAGGTCAAATAAAAAGTCTGACAAAGCTGGAAATTGAACGGAGAGTTTTGGGTGCCTTAACCACTCTATTTCCTGTTAAGTGTGTGGTGTTTTTCCCCACTCTAATGCTTATCATAAGATGAC